CGAAACTGCTGACTAGAATACGCGATGAGCGAGAAGTTAGGATGGCTGTTACGCCGTCTTTCTCCCACCGGGGAAGCCATCGACCAGCCGAAATTTATGCTGGAAATACAATTCCCGTATCCCAAATGCTTCGCCTAGAAACTTCATTTTTTATCGTCTTCGCTTTTGTGCGCGAAATAAAATGCGGGAACCAGTGGCATTGCGAGTCAACCTGTTGGCGATCCTTCCTTCTATCCTATATTAGGAGAGATTCGACATTTTATATATATCGTGCATAACCATGATTTTCAATATCTCGATATCCCTGGCGAAGCAAAATCTATCTTTAGTTCAAGGAAGATTTAAAATTGAATACCAAACGAAAGATTGAATAATAAAATAAATAGAATAGTGCTGATAAGAAGTAACAATTGAGGCCAGACATGGAAATAAGGCACATGAAAAGGTGTACATTATCTTCAAAACACATTTACAATAACTGAATTTTCAGGACGTTTGAAGAACATTTTATTATACATTTAAAAAAAGAAATTGGTTTTATTTATATTATTTTTTCTTAATTTAGTAATGGATATTGTAATGAAAAGTTTGAAAAGATCCCATTTTCATCGAATCTTATTAATATCATTATATTTGGTTTGAGAGTGAGAGTAATACATTTAAAATTGATTATCTTTTCAAAACGTATAACTCGTGAGGTAAATATTTAATCTTAACGAAGATAATATTCTAGTAAATTTCAATGCAAAATGTGATATTTTCAGGGTATCCAACAAACCAGTCGCTCTTTAATTTGGAATTTGAGGTAAGATTGAAATAAAACGAATAATCGATGCGAGTAATCTTCTCTACGTTGAAACCAATCTAATAGGATAGTGCAAAACCACACCGAAAGTTCGATATCGCCGACTCGACTCGTGTTGCGGAATAGTAAATTAAAACCAAAGAACCGGATTTCCGTTTATAACTGTGTTCGTTCAATTTACGAAGATGACATTTTCGAGGAAACTTGGTTACCCAGAAGTGACTTCAGCGTTATTTAAAATTCGATCTACTCTAAAACAGAAGTGTTCATATTGAATCTAAAATTTAGCAAAACCTGTCCGAGTTCCGGAACGATGATAAACTGCATTAGAAATTTTAGTTGAATAGTCGCGTGATGTACATAACCTCAACGCAGCGGAAAAGGGAAAAGGAAAACACTGAACAGGATTACCATTTATAATTTAATCAATTTTCGAAAATTACATTTTCAAAGAAATTCAATCTCGCAAATCCTGTTTCCAGGTTCACGTTTGGTCGAAGATTTACAAACTTGCCGGAGTCTCAAAAAGGTATTAAATTAGATTAAAAATTTTAATCGAGTAGTCACGTGATGTGAATAATGGAAAAGTGACACGAGGAAAAAAGACAGTGATCGTCGAACGCGATCGCGGAGAAAAAAGAAGCACAGCTTATACGATTCCCAGAGTGTTTGATGGAAAATAAAATAAAAAGAGAGGGGTAAGCCAGCAATATTATAAGGGGGCGTCGCAATAGCGAAATCCATTTGACGATTGGAAGCTTCCGCGCACCTTTGATCCACTTCGTTCCTCGAAACGATGAACCATAATGGAAAGTGCACTATTTTCGTCAAACGTAAGCCGGTGTTCGAGCCGTGCGTCTAAGAATCCCGTCGGAAGCTGCCATTGTAGAAGAACAGACTCCATTTAAAAAGTATTCCATTTAAGCTGTCGTGCCGATAGAGTGCGCTTCTCTCGAGGAGATTTCTAACGAGAAACCAGAGAAAAACGAAACGGAGGTAGAATGGAATCGTGTATCGCCTTCTTACGCGAACCATCTCCCTGTCACTAGGGGAATTTCGAAATTAATGGACTGCAACGAGCTCGGAGAATAACGCACGTTTCGAGACAATTTCGAATCAGGTTTCGACCGATGCATCGCGGGGAAAAGAGGGGAAATAAAACGTGTCGTACAGCTCTCGACAATGTGAAATCCTTTTGGGAGATGGGGCGCGTGTCGACCTGCCAGGAGAGCCCCCGGTTATTGAAACCTTTTATGTCTTTGATTCTCTTCGAATCGCCGTGCAATAAACTATCCTGAAAAGAGTTTATCTTTCGTAGCCATGGGCTGTTTGTTCATCAACAGCGAGGGGACAAGATACATGACCTCTGTGGTATAATCTGAGAACTTTTGTCCTATCGAATCACGATACAGCGATAATGGGGTTTACCCCTAGTACTATGATTTATTCATGGGTAATAATATTGAAGCGTGTAATTTGATTCTTCTACACTATGGTGCAACAGAGAACGCAGAAGCTTAGAATATTGCTGTTGAAGTAATTGATTATGGATATAAATTTTATACACTTGTATTAAATCATTTTTATTATGCTTTATTATTACATTTACACGATGTAATCATACATTTGTCCTCGCTTATATTTTGATATATTTAGATAATAATTTTGAGTACATGATGCTCACCAGAACACCCCGGAAGGTGCAGTGCAATACGGCTCAGCTGCACTCGTAATTCTAGCGAAAGGAGTTAGTTCGTTCGATTCATGGCGGTGCGATTATTTTCCCATATAAAATATTTTATATCAACTTTTATAATACCATTTCTCACGTTAACCCTTGGAAGCAGCTATAAATAATCCAAGCTTATATCTTTTGTTACGTTCACGGTAACAGGAAGAATTGTACAATGAGACTGAACGATATATATCCATAAAATTGATAATTTAATTAATAAACTTCTCAGTCGGCTATATTTCAAAGACTTATAACACCGTAATTTGAAACATAAATGCATTATATATCATATCCGATCTATTGGATCCATTAATCAACAAATTATCTGCTAACGAATTCAATGTGGTTGCCACGAAAATCAATAGACCTTCTGAAAGAACGTGAAGGATGTCACTTTTCCACTAGGCTTATGTAACGTGATCTGCCTCATCGGTTTGACGCGTATAAAATGGCTTCACGATCGGAAACACCCCGTATAAATAAAGGTCGGCGGGCAGAAGGTAAACGTGTGCGTCTGAAAAGAGCTGCCTGAACCGGTCTATCGATCCTGACTGCGATACGTTTCAAAAGAAAATTACATAGATCAAGTTGGTATCCAGATCTCCGTATCTGCTGGATTCGCGCGTCGTCGAGACGACTCCAAGCGGAAATTCCCGAACGCGCTTCAACTCTAATCCGTTTTAAAAGATCTCCCCGCGG